CAGCCCTCCAGCCTTCCCAAGGACCAACTGATGGGATTCAAGCACTTTGAAAGCACATACATGTTGTCTAAAATATTTTCACATGCTTTTAGATATAGCAATTCTGTATTTAAACAAGCAGAAAAAGGGAACATTGGAGATGGGTGTTAATTACTCCTATTTACAGGCTTCTTTTGGCAGTTTTCCATATTGCTTAAAATTGAAGTTGTAACTTATTTTCAGTGATTCAAAAATCAAGGCAAGAGAGAGAAATTCATCAGAAAAACGAGAGGCTACTTTTCCAGAGATATAAAACAAAATACAGCTTACATGTCTCATGCATCAGGTTTTGGATCTATCCTTTATCTTCTGAAGGCAAACGTGATGATCAATCTACCAAAATCCTAAAATAGTTACCCAAATCCCTCCTCTTAATCTTCAGCTGTTCAAGGATTCTACAATTTTCAAATGAACTCTTAAGCACTGGACATTTTGGTTTTTCAAGTGTTCAGTGTTAATGGCATGAAAATATCACTCCAAATGTTTAAAAGGGATTTCAAAGCTTGACCCAAGCTGATAACCCAGATTTTCATTTCTGGATATTGAAGATAAAATGGTTGAGGACTTATAGAGAGAAGAAACCAGTTTTACAGCAGCATTTTAAGTTGTGATAAAATTCCTAAATATAAATGCCCAAAGTTCATGTGGTAGAGTGTTCATTGGGTATTTTTTTAAAGCGAGACACAAGGAATGATCTTCAAAATTCACAAGAATTTAAGAAATAAGTAAGTTATATTTAACCTCTACACAAGAGGCAGTTTAGTATTTAGAAAGATCCTAAGGAAGATCTCATTCTCATCAGATCATCTTTCTTCAGCTTTGGAAGAAGTGTTAACTCTCATCCTTCTCCATCTTCTGATAGGCTTTAGGAAAGGAAAGGAAATAATTTGACCTCTTGAAGAGAAGGAAAAGCCAACTGGGAAGGTCATGTCTAGAGAGAGATCACTGCTCCATATTCCACATCCAAGTTAGGGGGCCTCAGTCCAGTCTGTCAGGGCCAAACCTGACAACTACCAGAGAGGTTTACTGTGAACTGAGACAAAGAAAAAGTATTCTTGGTACAACCTTATGGAGGTTCCTTATGGAACCTTTTTTTTTTTCCTGCAGTGAAAGGAGGGAAAAGTTGATCTAAAAAATACCAGATCATTTGCAAATAGATTCAGAAAGAAGAAAAAATTATATCAATATGCCCAACACTCCCCACATTGAGTGAACTTGCTTAGAAATGAAAAGCATTTTGAAAAGTGAAAAGTGATGCTAAAAGCATCACTTTAAGGTGCTTTTAAACACCTACATGGGTACTTGTCACCATATTGCAACCAGAACTTTCTGAAAAGCTGCCTATTGAACACTTTCACTGACAAGTTCCAGTTGAGATCAAATCCCATGTCCACATTGCACACAGTACCAGAGAGAATAATGCACTGCAGAGGGGCTGTTCTCAGTCCACATTAATAAAATAATTAAATGGGAGTTCAATCAGTCAATCGTTTGGAGTAGAAAAACTTTTGAATAATGAACCCCAAAATTACTTTTTTCTGACTTAGATCAATACTAAACTTATCTCTTTGTTGAGGATTTATGCCATTTAGAACTGCTGGTGCCAACAGGTGGGAGCAACCACCACGAGGCAGAAGGGCAGTAGCTGGATACAGGATTCGAGGGCAGAGCCCAGATACTTTCACAGGGAATGATAAATACTTTATTATTATTATTATTTTATTTACCAGACACTGCTGTGTGCCTTGGCAAAGCCTGTGGATCTCTGAAAGCAGTTTGTGGCACTGTGCACGACCACCACAGACACTTCCCAAGACAGGGATGTCACAAGGAGACAAGGAGGGAACTGTCTCACCAAACCCAGCTTTGCATTGAATGCCTTCTTTAATGGAAGCTGAAAGCACACTGCTCAAGATGATAATTAAAAAAACAGAAACCAAACAGTTAAAGTCTGTCTGATTAATTGCTCTACTTGGCTAATTTGATAAGCTCTCAGTCAGTTTTCCATGCCTCCTCCATCGGCTTGATCTGTGCTGTAAATTAATTTAATTAGGAACACCTGCAATCAAAAGCCCCATCTCTGCAAAGTTAGACAAGTCTTATTTACACCCAGCATTTTTTTAAAGGTCGGTTATAAACCCCTTCTTGCCACAAGAGGCCTTTCTGGGGTAGAAGGAAGGAACATAACAAGGGTTGTGTGCAGCAGAGGAACCACTCCCTGCACTCAGCAGGGCTTCATTCCCACTGCATTCAGCAGCATAAACTGCCTCCTTCTAGAGAATTCTGATCAAAATGACATTACAGCAGGCAAAAGATGACAAACAAGTCGCAGTAATTGCAGTCTCCAAACCATGCTAATCAGATCAGCCATCGGTGAGGAGGGGAGTGACAATGCCTGGCTCCATGCAGCTGCCAGGGGGACCTGCTCAGTGGGTTTGTACCAACACCAGAAGCTGCAAACTGATAAAACTATTTTGAAAAGTTCAAAGTCATCCAGAGTGAACATATGCTAGATAACAAAAGATTAACTGTGTGTTTATGCATCTAGATGTATGACTTACCATTCAATCCCAACTGAAAAGCCACTTATATTTGCACCAGCTCTTCATACAGGACAGAGCTCTTTGCCATTAAACTACAAGCACAAAAGTTGTGCTGCAACAGTTTCAAAAGCATGAACTGTAAACTGATATGCTTTTTTAAAACTAATTGTACTGATAGTTTTAATTGATCCTTCTGATTGCTACTTTATCCTAATTTATTTTTGTGAATATAAATTAGAAACCAAAGGAAGCTCCAAACAATTTTATCTATGAAGATTTTTTGGACTGTATATGCAATCCCCTTTCAAAAAGTATTTTGTGTGCAGAAGTTTTAATGCTCTGTTTTAATGATAATTTTCTGCCTCTCAAAACAATTAAAGGGAGATTGGACATCATAAAATGATTATTTCCATCAAAATCAGAAAAAGTTATAGTTCAATTCATCTGGGGTTTTGTGCTAGCTTTAGTAAAATGTGTTTTGAAAAGTAAGACAGACAATAATACCGTCAGGCTTGCCTGACTCAAAAACAATTTGCATTAGTAAACTTTAAGCCCTTGAGATGACAACAGATTCTTGGATTTGTTGTAAAAAATATTTTAGCTAAACAATGCCAAGCTTGGGGCCTTATGCAGTGATTGTGTTAAGGAAAATTATGAACCTCTGCTTCAGAGAACATCTACAAAGCTTGCAGAGGATTCCTGCTAGAATGAAAGGCACCTCTATCACACCTCAGAGCACAAAATATTGGTCTGGTACTTCAAAACTGAGAATATAAGAAAATAAAATTATTAATGGAGCCATTAACTGTCTCTCTGGGGCTCTCAGATTAATTTAATTCTCAGAGTAAGTGCTCAGATCCTCACAGCCTTTCCAAACCTCCAGCAGAACTGCTCCAAATATCACTGTGTTGTACAGGAGAGAATGGAAAAAATTCATGCATTACATGGGAAAGCTGCTGGAATGCAGGAAAAGTGTAAAAAACATCACCAAAAAAAAAAAAGGAAACGAAGCTTTGGCATTAAAAGACCTGACAGATGTTAAGCTTTTGTTCTTGCACCAACTCTCTTATTCCAGAGTGATGAGTAATTAAGTGTAATGTGCAATTGAGAAAGGGCTTGTCCTTGGTCATGATCTACAAAGATGCCCATAAACCCTCCCCATGGGCTGTTCAAGGCCCTGCAAACCAAACGAGTCCCACTGGGAAGTGGGAACGATGCTTAAAATGCCAACGAGTATCCTGGGATTAAACATTCTCGTTCAGGAAGCAGCAGCACGTTTATGAATCTGACTGGACTCTCAGAAACACCAATAAGCTTAATTGAAGAGGAACATTGATTACCCTGACAGCTCAATAAGGCACATTTTCCATGGATCACTGAACTTCGGTGAACTAGGGAAGAAGATTAAAGGACTGTGTGTCCCTCAAAGCCTTGGCCACTCCTCTGACACCCCTAATGCCATCAGTCAGGGAAAGCTGTTTATTATCTTCTGATCTCAGAGGTAGAGGTCACCAAGCAGCTCAAACATCATTGGGCAGGTAAGGGAGAATTTGAGAGAATAAAAAAAAAAAGCTAAAAAAAAAAAAAAAAAAAAAAAAAAAGGAAAAAAAAAAAGGGCTGGAGAGAGACAGTGGAACTCCATGAGGATTCCAGCTACTTCCAGTAAAGAGCATAAGGGAAAATAATTAATTCAAAAATATGTATCAGTAAACCCAGAAATACAGAAGAGAAGGTGTTTTCTACTTAACCACTCAGAAAAGAGCAGAACATAGTAGGAAACCATTTGATAAATGTGAGGCTTAATTCCAAAAGCTGGTTTACTCTCGTATCATAATAAAAGTGATAATTTGCTAATATTTGGAGGAGAAGGGAAAAAGAAGGAACATGTGCTGCTTCAGAGGAGCACGGGAGCTTATTTTGCCTATATAAAATGAGTTTCTGAAATATTTTTAACTGAGTTATTTTAAGAAGTGCCAAAAAGTTGGCAGCCATGGAGAACTAGTTAGCATAGATAAAGAGCCTGAAGACATGGAGCCTGGATAAAACGGGATTCACTGGACCCCAAGCTGGGCCTTTTGTGTTACTGTTTGTATATCTTGTCATCTGGGGACCTGTCCTGAATTAAGGTGCCACTGCATTGCTTAAAACTACAGAATTATCTCTCCTGTCCTGTGCTGTCTGCAATTTGTAACAACCACTGAGATTTGGAGGCCATCACCCGGTCCTTCAGGGATTCTTAAAACTCAGTTTGCTCTGGATGTTGTACAAAACATGTTGGAGATGTTGGAGATTTGTCACCGGTTCAGCAGAAAACACAGAGACTAAATTCATGTCCATGTGTTTACGTTCATTTCAAATGACTGACTGACAAAACAGCAGAACATCCCCTGGAATATAAAAAGATGGGATAAGGCTTACCATGAACATAGCGCAGAGTGAGACACAATCTTCATGCCACAGCATGCAAGACCTAGGAAAAATAAAAAAAAACAACAGTTTACATTTTGGAAATATAAATTCTGACTGAATATAATGAATGTAAAGTCAAAGAAATAAAGTAGTCCAGCCATTTAATACATCTGAGTTTATTTATATCCAAATGGTTTTATTGCACAATTAATAAAATTAAGCTCATCTCTTCTGTATTACTCCCGACAGGAAACTTAAAAGTGAGTCTTAAAAAAATAAAAACATAACACACCCTCAAAAAGTAAAATCTAACACACTTTCCAATATAACTGAAGCATTAAAAATTGTCTAAATCCAGAAAAATCTGAATAATAATGCACACAAAAGCTATTACAGTTATTGTCACTTATAATTATTTTGTAGTAGCACTCAGGTCTGTAAGTCTTAAACAGAACTAATAAACTCAATATTCCCTAGAATCAAATATTTTGAAAGGGATATGTTTACTAAATAAATATATGCATGAATCAGGGCACCTGAAAGTTTTACTCTGCTACTCTTGGAGATGAAAACAAACGTCTCTTCCAAGAATTACATCAAAACAAACACACAGGTACCTCTCTGCTTCAAAAACCTGATGACAGGATTAAATTTACAACAGAGAGTCTATTTAAAAGCCTTCTGGAGATGATTTTAAGTAAGCAGAGACTTAAGAGTGTGTGGAGTGTATTTGTCAAGATGCAACTTGCCAAGCAATCGGGGTTGTTAACCAGCATCTCCCCGTGCCCAGGGAATGGACCCCCTAAGCTGGGAGATTTCTGCAGGAACACACAGTGACAGCCCTCTAAGAGCTTCAGGACAGAGATATTCAACAGCAGTTCCTCTCCCAGCTTCTAAAAGCACTTTGGAATGCAACAGAGTGAATCCTAAAGGGAATGTGCATTATGTCATTAACAGCCAAAAAGCCATTCTGTGAGTCACCCAGTTTTACTGTGAACACCATGCAACTGCTCAGGCCAGGAATTAAAAGGACAAAAGGACAATGGCTCTTCTTTGAGAGGCAAAGCTAAGTTAGGAGGTGACACATCAAGAATTAAATTGAAATCTGGGGGGGGGAAGCCTAACCCACTTGACAGAAGTGTCACGGAATCTAATTACTACAAGTGACAAAAATGTCGTTTTTTCATCCTGTGCTCACAGAAATACTTAGAGTAGTTCCAAGACAAACATGTTGTTCCACCACCTGGGCTACCAACATCAGTTTAGCACATTTATCCCAGAGATTTCCCACTGTGGAAATCCCTGAAAACATCCTAAAACTAGAGTTCTATCATTTTGAATTGCACACAGAGAACTGGAGCTAAACCAAAGGAAGTCCACCTTCTCCATAAACTGGCAATGCAATCCAGGCACTGGATACCATTCCTGATTATTTGCAGGGAACTCCAAGACTCAAACTGCAAATCAGGAGAAACATTAGAGGAAAATACCCAAACACAAGAGCTTTAAAGTACAGCAAGTCAAAACAATTTTGCCAGCAGAGATGAAAATGATGAAAAGTAAATTCAATGAGTGAGAAGGCGACTCCCAGGGCAGTGACGGGAATACTTGGCTGTGTCCTGTCCACAGTTCCAACACCTACTGTGGGAGGCTTAGATTGCAAAAAGTGTCTTTCTGCCCAGCAGGACAAGGATGTCATTAAACCTCCTGCCTCCATTTGCCTCAGCAGTAAAGTTCTCCCACTTCTACAAGACCGGTTTTGAGTACAAATTCAGGACAAAATAAAGGTGCCTAAATACTGGGGTGATAAATTAAAGTGAATGTCTAATCAGTATTCTCAGTATGTTTCTCTGACTCTATAAAGACTCGACACTTTCAGACTGGGAAGGATAAAACCATAGGCCAGCAGTAATCAGAGCTACTTTTAAAATGCATTGTTGCTTTGATCAGGGATTACTGAAGGCTCCACCAGACCAGTATTTATTTATTCTTTGAACTGGCATTCCCAGACTTTTAGAAAATTTTAATTGTCAGAGGTACTGCATATTGCTGTAAAAACTCCCTGTGAAGGAGTTTGATCTAGGAAAGCCAGTCACTCATGAAAAAAATTACATTCATACAAAATTTATCATTAAATAGAAACCTTTGTGGTTCATTCATTTCCCTAAACAGCTTAAACCCTTGCTGGAGCAGAAATTCACTGTGCCTGCAAATCAGACATTTGCTGCAGTTGGCTGAAAATATGAATAACCATAAAGAAATTGATAATCAAAGAATTTGCTAGAGAAAATAAAAACTAAAAAGAAAAGTTTATTGATTTTTAAGACTGTTTTTGCCGAGGAAAAGCTTTCACTTTCCCAAGTCAAACTGAAGATGGAACTATAGAGAAACTGCTATGAGTTGCCATTTATTCTATATCCTAAAAATCTGGGATTGTTGCAGAGGTGGCAATGGCAGACTCTTCATCAACAACCAGTTTGTAACAAGAAAGCAAATGGATTCTGTTTGGGGTGTAAGGGCATGAGAGAAACTCGAAGTATTAAAAGGAGTCTTCTAAAAGTGGCAGTGGGGGGGAAAAGTTCTTTTGGTCCTCTGTCAGTCACCTCTGGGATGTTCAACTGTTGCCAAAAGTTCTGAGAACTTTTCGTTTTCTTTAAAGACAAATTCACAGATACTTCTCTTTACATTTTGGGCTGCTTAAAGGGCTTTAACACATCAGCCAGAGCAGTTAAAGTCTACTCCAAGAGCTGTAACCCCACCAGGTGTTTCCACACAACCACAACCCGTCACTACTTCTTACAAATTATACAAGAACAGAACTACAACAGCTCCAAGATCAGTCTGAGGGTGATTAAAGACTGGTTGCAGCCACTCAGACAAGTGAAATCTGTAAAACACTGCATGGTGCCTTAGAAGACCCTGAGCTGTCCAAGTTTGTGCAGTCACTGTCCCTCACCTCACCTAGAGTCGGTTTTTTCATCCTGCTACACCATGGAGTTGTTTTTTGTTCGATGGGTTCTTGTTTGTTTGCTTTACCTTTTAACCCCTGAATGCTCCAGCAAACAAAGAAGGCGTGCAACTGTTTTATCACCTCTTAAAAACTCACGTGTGACGTCGCAGTCGAATTTTCTGAGTCAATGCTGTACTGCTAAAATCATTATCATTTACCCAGTATTCTGTGGCAATTAGGAACAGCACTCAATAGGTTTATTTTTAGTAAGAGCACCTCATTCACACATTTTGCAGCGCTGCACGGGGATCACTGATCTCTATGCATGACTGCAGTGATAAAATCTGGCAACACTCTCTAATAACTGTTTAAACTGTTCTAGGCGTGTACTTCGAGCAATATACAATTATTCCAGCACCTAAAAAGAGCTTTTCCACTTGCGGTATTTTCCACTACTCAGTATGTGCACCCTTGTAATCAGATGGTTAAGATTTTCCATTATTTCCTTCATTTTGTTTACTCCTTTTCAGCCACTGGACAAAGGTGTCCCTGCCCACGGCAGGGGTTGGAATTAGATGATCTTCAAGGTCCCTTCCAGCCCAAATCGTTCTGTGATTCTTTGTAGCTCACAAAAAATGGCTTAAATGGAATTTGCAAAGGCTAGACTGAGGGGTTCTTATCTTGATGCACAAATCCATGAGGATCAGGCTGAAAATTATGTTTTTCCATCAACACAGGTATATAGAGAATGGTCACCATAAGAACTAAAATTTAACAAAATTATAAAGATAACATCGGTTTTTGGCACGACACCAAACAAAGACAAAATTAGATCTGACCAAGCTACACAATGAAGTTGCATTTCAATTTACAACAATTTCCAGTAGCAGGTCCACTGCAGCACCACTGGAGTTCTTTCTGCTTCCTCTCTAAATGTTCTTGAATGCTGCTTCTATACAGCAACACCTCTTAAGATAAAAGAAATTGAATTTATTGAAGTCATCATGGATGTAGATTTTGAATCAAGCATAACACTGTTGTTTATATAAAGGGTGACAGAGCTTTGGGTGAAGCAGGGATAAAGAAAAGCTGTGTTAGGATGTGTCTGGGAGGAAATGAGTCCTGTTGACCTGTGCATCCACCTTGTGCAGTTGAAGAGAGCTCAAAACTCCACTCGGCTCTTGTATGCTAGGACAGAGTTTACTGATGCTTGAAGATGAATGAAACTCTGGAACAGAGAGCATCACATGCCATTTGTCTGGAGTGGAAATTTTAGCAGAAAATACATACAGTATGAGGTCAAGGCACTAGCAAAAAGCCCATAATGAACTACCATCTGCAACTGAAGCTGGTGGAGAAATGAAATCACAACATTTGAGAATCAGGGAGGGCAAGAGGAGAAATTACACTGATATTTGGAAAACACATTACACCACTGAAGGAGGAGAAATTACTGCTTTTTTAATTAAATGTTTATTGTGAGGGGTTTGTCTTCCCCTTATCACCCCCCTGCAGTGATACAGATCTCTACCACACAGACCTTCCGCTGCTGCCACCTTCCACGAGTGCAGCACTATTCCAAGGTTAGCTTACATTGTAAAATTCATCTCATTCCTCTTAGAAATCCCCGGGATTTCAGTATTTGTAATTACAGCATTAGAAAACAAAACTGACAGCACCATGAGAGCTCAGGATGTCAAACAGGCAGCAAAACCTGTGGCACAGGTGGATCTGGCACACCCACTGTCATCGCTCAGCGGGTGACAAACTGCAAAAGCAACAAGAGATGGGTTTCCTTGTTCTGTTAAATGAGTCAAAGACGTTCCTCTAAAGAGCTTCTTCTCCATCTCTCAGACAAGACCTCGCTAGAAATGCAAGCTGCAAACACTGGCAGCACTCTAATTTTGAAACATGCAGAGCTTGTGCTTCCTTTACCAGCCCGGAGAAGACAAGTCTGAGGGGAGACCTCATTGCAGTTACAACTTCCTCGTGAGGGGAAGGGCAGGGACAGGCACTGATCTCTTATCTCTGGTGATAGGACCCGAGGGAACGGCCTGGAGTGTCAGAGGAGGTTTAGGTTGGATATCAGAAAAAGGTTTGTCCCCCAGAGG